GAAGTGGGGCTTCTAGTGCTGCAGGTCTCCAAAACACCGGTTGAGTAAACAAACAAACAGATGAAGTAAACTTTGAAATCTCTCTCTTTCTCTCTAGTCTCCTTTTACGGATTCGAGTAATAATAAATAATGCGGTTGGATTTCTGAGTTGTTTATGTATCCACCGTCAAAATGTTTGATCTTTGTGTACGAATTATTCGAGATCATGAACACATTCTCTGTTTTTCTCAAGTGCAACAAAACAGAGAGAATCTTTTCTTGTTTGTTTGTCTCTTACTTAACCTTCCTCTTTACGGAGCATTATCATTTGTTAAGGATGGTCATGCTCTCTGTTTTCGGTTTGTTTTTTTTTTGTCAAAATACAAATACAAATACAAATAATAGGAAAGATTCGGTTTAATTTTGCCTAATACGGTTTGGTTTGGTTAAATTTTTCTGATTACGGTTCTTGTTCCCACCTTAATCATCGTGTACACAAACTACACACATGTCGGGCGGAGTATGTATGTATATGTGGTCCCGGGAAAACGGCAGACATTGTGGAAAGAGGCCGTTGAAAAAAGAAGAAAAGTGGTGCGGAGAAAACTACACGGTGTTTAAGTCTCTTATGTAGACACGCCTTGCATTTTTTTGGATTCGGTAACGCCCCAGCGGCTCTATTAATTGTGTGGAGAATTTATAGTGTACCTGTACGGTGTACCAATTTTCCCAACGTACTTTATACGTAATAACTTCTAAAGTAATAAGTACGTTTTTATTTTCCAACTACAATAAGTACGTTTATCATATTAATTTTCGAAAGGTCAAAAAGTTCACATTAGAAAAGTCGGTATTTGTTAATCACGCGCCTCCACTGATTTGTAGAGGAAGAAAAAGATTCAAGGAGATGAGAAATTTTATTAGTAATAAGTGAATAGGCTTTTTTCTTTTCTTTTTTGTCGACTAGTAAATAGGCTTTATTTCTGGTATTTTACCCAAGTTGCTAAAAGTTGAAGACGACCAAAGATATATTATCCACAAAAGCCAAAAAAAATATAAAAAAGGATAAATACGTGTCAATTAAACGTGAATATAGGGCACCGACGACAGTCGGCGTAGTATAGCACCGGTAACGACTTTTTTCCATATTTTATAGTATTGGGTTTTTAAATTATTATATTTTGGGCGTTATGTTAATAATTATTTTCTCTTTACAAAGAAGTTATTAGCTTAAAAAGTGATTTCAGACAACTTTAAATGGGCATATTATGTTGACAAAACTTTTTTAAAAAAAATGGGCATATTAGATTCTCTTTTCTTTTCAATCCCTTGAAGAAAGGGCAATCAACACATAAGAACGGGAGAGCATTAACAACAGTCGCTAGCATTACAAACCAAATCAAATCTCTAATTATTAATCCGTTCTCCCTTTTATATATAGTAACGACTAAACCTATTATAAAACCCAACATTGAAATCTCAATCACCATCTCCCTTTTCTTTGATTAAAAGTTGAAATTATAAGAGTCATCTTCCAAATTCCTCTTGTTAAAAAATAGGTAAATATTTCAACTTTTCTAACAATATTTATAGATAGAAATCTATACGAACTTAGGTCGAATGTACGAAAATAAAAAGCCATTAATTTAGTGGAAAATGAATTTAAAAAAATTATCTTTATTGATGAAATTGTTGTGAAAAAGAGGAGAGTTGAAATGACAAGGTGGTTCACTTTCTTCTTGGTTTCACTAAGCTAAAACTAAAAGTAACAAAGAAAAAAAAAAGAGAATTGAAATGAAGAATCGAAATCTTCCTCTTTTGCCCTTTTTAGTAAGACCCTTCTTCACTCGCATCTGAACTTCTCTTATTATGTACACGGAGTAATCTCCAACCAGTAACATATCTTAATATCTAAACAAGTGAAGCTAAAAGTAGTAGTAGAAGAAGAAGAAGGAGCCAATGCAATCTCAATCTGTAGAGAAAAATGAATGGAAGTAGGGAAGAATAAGACAGAACAGAGCACAGACAGATACAAGATCACAGGGCAATGAAGAGGGGAATGAATGAACAAATCATAATGAGCTGAAACTCTACACTAATGGGTTCCCTGGTAAATGAAGCATCTTAGGAAGTTAAAGTGAGGTTATTGAGAAGTTTCTTGAGGGTAATGAGGAGTTGTAGAAGAGTGAAAAAAAAAAAGAGTGGGTTTTTGAGGTTTAACCGCTATAGTGCCTCACTGAGTACTCCAACACTTCTTTGCTTGGACAGACAATCTCCTTTACCCGAGTACCGTTCTTGTATATCTTCACTGTCGGTACAACCCTCACATTCTCTGCATTACCTATCGAAGGACATTTATCGATGTCCACCTAACCAAAAAGGTAGAATTTAGAGTCAGTCGCTACCTATGGAGTTACAAAATGTTTTGAGTCATGTAAACTTACCTTGAGGAAGTGTATAGATGGGTAACGAGTACACAGCGAGTCCACAAATGGAGATATTTGCTTGCATTGATGATCAGAGGCTGTCGAGAAATGGATAACCGAAACCCCTGGGTTCGAATGAAGTCATCACATTTATTTCATAGTTAGATCAGAGGTCCAATCAAGAAAAGATACCATTGTAAGAAGCAGACGAGCAAATGCCATGTTTTTTTTTTACCTGGTAGATTCATGGCAGCTTTAAACTGTTCACGGCTATAAACTTCCTCAACTTCACCACCAAATTCCATATTCAAAACTTCTTCTCCGCGAGATTTCTTCAATGCGACTTGAGCGTGAAATAAAGACTCAGCAACTTCCTTGTCATGAGGTAGTTCCCTTCTCAAGGCTTCATAATCACTCACTGCAGCTGCCCATCGCTCCATCTACAGTTGAAGAAAGAAACTTAAGCACCATCTCAAAACAAATTACAAACCAAACTAATTGATAATGCAGTTTTTTTATTATGTACCTTGCTATTTGAGGCAGCTCTACGAAGAAGTGGCTTTGTGTAACTTGGTTGGAAACGCAGCGCCTGGTTACAATCTTCAATTGAGCGTTCCCACATTCCAAGTTTAAACCAACAAGCTGCCCGGTTACAGTATAGAATAGCATTGCAAGGATCAAGCTTAAGGCCTTCTGCATATGCTGAGCTTGCTTCCGTGTATCTTTCTGATTTATATAGATCGTTACCACGAGCACGAGCCCTAGCAACCAATGTAACAGTATTATGTAACATAGCAACTTCGTTGCTTCGTGGATCGATTTGGCTAGCTTTCTCCGCAGCCATAACTGCATTGTCAAACCTGCAAGAATTCATCATCTGCTCTTTACCCTCTTTTTTTTTTAACAAAACTTTTATTCAACATCGGCATTTGAAATTTGTTTCTCTAATCTTCTCACCTTCCTAAAGCCATGTCGATTTGAGCTCTGACAAAATATGTATAGGCTTCACAGACCATACCAGAAAACCGAGTCTGCGAACAAGATACAGGAAACGGCTCTACTCTAGGAACTTCTAATAGCTTTGTTTGGGCATCATCAAGCCGGTGAAGTTTCAAGAGTGCTTCTACTTTACACATAACTAGCTGCAAAGTTTAAGACATAACAGTTTTAAAAAAAAAACATCTGACTTTGATTCTGATTCTATCTATATCCCACAAAATTTGAATTCTTACTTGAGGAGACAAATCTGCTCCAGAAACAATAGCTGCATCTGCGTCCATCAAAACAGTTTTCCAATCACCGAGCCTTCGCGCATCTGCGCATTTGCTCATATGTTTTTCCACTGCTTCAAGCTTCTGCAACTCCATGGTATCTGATGGTTTCCCAAGAAAACAAAGATGCTTCCTTGCACTATTAACCTGACCTAATCTGCAACCAAGTAATCAAAACATATCAACAAAAGAGCCCTAAAAAGCAACCTCATCACTTCATCAAGAAAGTGGCAATTTTTACCTAATAAGCAATAAGGCCAAACGGTGATGAGCTCTTGCATAGTTTGGATCCGATCTCACAGCTTCTTCACACTCCTTGACAGCTTCGCCGATTCGAGACAAACCCGTCAATGCGGCGGCTCGATTGCTCCGGTAAGCCGCGTTTGTCGGTGATAAAGCTATTGCTCTCTCGTACAGCTTCAAAGCCTCACTGAACAAACCTTTCCTGTACATTTCGTTCCCTACTCTCTTCACTTCCTCTGCATCCGAACCTAAAATCGCTTTCTTCCATAGTGTTTCTCCTGCGACGGGACTACTTCTACTAGAGCCACCGACAGTTACCGGCGAATTCGATGCTTGTCTCGGAGATCCTCCTCCGGTGGGTTTCGCCGGAGATACACTGCTTCCTCCGCCTCGCATTATGCTTCCGTGTCCGTACGTTCCTGTTCCAGATCCGAGAACGTCGCTTCTCGAGCGGCTTTGTGTCATTCCGGTGATTTGGATCTTACCGGAGGGACAAATGTTTCCGGTAGGAAGTACATTCGCCGGCGTCGGAGCCGGAGAAGTAGCGGAGCTCTGGCTAGAGGAGGAGACGAGTGGCTGTGAATTCGAAGTAACTGAGTCCGATCTAGCTTGACTCGTTCTTAGATTCCCACTGCTCGAACCGGATTGGCTACCGCGAACCGAATCGGATCTTCCGATAACCGGAGCATGTCTAACCCGACCCGTTACAGATCCGGAGGAGCTGGAGCTGCTACTACTTGTGGTGGTTGTGGTGGTGGTGAGTCCACGTGGCTGAGAACGAAGCGGAGAAACCGGCGAACCAAGATCCAGTTCACGGAAATCCGGTTTATTGATCTCGGAGCTCAAACGATTGTCAGATTCACGAATCGGTTTACCCGACTGCGACATTTTTTTTAATTTACCGGCGAAGAAAAACGAAATCAGTGAAAATCGAAGGAAACCCTAATGGAGGTTTCTGGGTATTAGCCAGTTAGGGTTTTCACTCCGATGAAGAATTAAGAGCAATGGCCGTCAATGGAGACGGAGGAGACCGGAGATGGAGAAGACGACGAATGGAGGATTAGATACTCTGATCAAAGGCATCGAAAGGGAAAGAGAAAGAGAGAGAGAGATGGGGATCTCGTGAATAAAAAGGGCGAAGCAAAGAATGAATGTGAGTGCCTAGAGAGAGAAAGTGTTTCCGAGAGAGAGAGAAGAGAGAAGGTTCACAGAAGAAGAGGAGTGAAGATGGAGAAGCAGAGCGAATATTCACTATTAAATATTACACACAACCAAAAAAAAGGATAGATCATAATAATTAATTAATTTCGTTTGACAAAAGAAAGGAAAAAAAAGGTTAATTATATTCTACAACAAAGAACAAACAAAAAAACAGAAAACAAAGTTAATGATAAATTAAAAAAATGAAAAGGATTGAATTAACGAACTTTTAAAGTTATGGTTGAAATTCTACAACATATTTTTTATAAAGTGTTCTCCAACATAATTCCAATTGAATAAGCAGATTGCATTAAAAAAGAATAATTATTCTACAACAAAGAGCAAAAAAAAAACGCAATGAAATTATGGGTAAAATTCTACAACATGGTTCAAAGTTCCAACTGAATAACCAGAAATAGAAGAAAAAACAATGTTTTAGCTTTTAAACAATCTTACTTAAGTATTCGAAAAAATAAGTATTTTAAAAAAAGATAGATTACATTTGAGTAAAAATAACTTTCTTTACAGAGAACCTTTTTTTTTTGTAAGTTCATAAAATGAATATGAAATTTTGGAAATAAGTAATATATTAAATGTTGTCCAAAAAATAAACACTTCTTGTTCACCTGCTGCTTCACGAGACAGATTTATATTTTTGCTTTTATCTTTCCATTTTTTCGCTTTATGATTTAATCAGAAATAAATAAATAAACAAATTAAGAAAATAATTGTTAGTAGCCGTATATATTGCAAATATATATATATATATATAATTATATATATATTTAGAAAAATCTGCTTACTTCGCTTTCGGTACTGTTCGATTTTTCTTTGTACTTTGGCGCTTATGACATACAAAAAGCCCACTCGCGGCTTGTGGGAAGTGACGTCTACGCTCCCAGACAATCTACGACAATTGTGTAGTGTCCCAAAAGGACATTTTAAGAAGCAGATAATATAACATGTCAAAAATTAAATTAGATGGTTAATAAATGAAAATTAAATTAGGTACCAACTGCCCAAAAAAATTAAAAAGAGACCAAATACATTTTATCACTAAATGTTTTCTTGTAAGTATTTATAAGTACAATTTATTATTTACTATTTTTTACTGATAAGATGAATAAGTTCATTGTATTAGCAACTAAATGAAAATAAAGAGCTTTCAATACAAGTCTTACACATAAAGAAATCCACTTTCAGGTTACTTGTACCAAATTTATATACTAACATAAAAATCCGAAAATAGATTCTCAAGGTTTCAAAATAAATCAACTTACCAACTCATTATAGTACATTAGTGGAAAAATTCACTGTAAAATTGAAGGATTACGTTGCCAAATACAAGAATACATACACATCTTTGTAAATCCACGAATGTTACTTTTGATTATGGTCTTAAAGAAACAAATTTAACCAACTCCGATACAAAAACCAGTCACTAAGAAGTAAGGAATAACATAATACAGAGAATCACATTTTAATAAGAGAGGGAACATGCCATTAATATAAAACTAACAATGTTATCCAACAAAAACAAAGCTAAAAATAATGTAAATTAGAAAAGTTAATGAAGAAAGAAAGTATATAGATTTAATTTGGGTAAGTAACCTCGAAGTTCGCACACATCTATGTATTATTGGCTTCTTTCGCACAAAATTTCTTTCTTCTTCTGGTTTCCTCGTTTCTTTTTCATTCTATTTGTACAACACTTAAGTAGGCCCAAATTTACGCTTACATATTTACATGTGTATATTACATATTTTCAAATGTTCTACTCATCTCTAACATATATATTAATATATATACATTGATGAAAACCAGAAAATAGTGGTAGCACTTTTTTTTAACAAGTAGTAGCACTTTGTGACAAAGATTTGTACACTCCATAGAACATAGTCATCGTAAATTTCAAACAGCTGGAAACAGATTCTGTTATTAACCTGGCTCCCACTTTTTAATTCTTGCCATTCAAATTTATGTCAGATTAAAGGTAACTTATTGAAGTATATATAAATACATAAATAAAAATATGTGTGTGTCAATTAACAAAAGCAAAACGTTTGAGTCAATTATACGTATGCGAAAGTATAGCTTAATGGAGCGGTTACAACTCGGGGATCGTATTAGTGGGTTTGGTATACCGACACTAGCGTAATATATATCGTGTGTTTTTATAATAAAAAGTAAAATAACATTGTTTTATCACACATAGAATATCATGTAATCACCACCCAAAAATGAAGTATTTCTACAATTTGTTTTCTTCTGTTAACCCCCACACTTCGATTATACAAATCACACTTTTTTTTTATCAAACTATGCTCTAAGACTCTAACACATATAATCCCCAAAAATCTGTTTTTTTTTACTTGCAAGCATATAACGTACCGAAATCTTGTACATATGCTATTATGTATCGATGGTGGTCTTGTAGAGCAAGTTAGGTGTTTGAAGTCGAACATGAAAATAAATAGTTGAATGCTTCCCTTCATAAAAGCGAATACTTAATTGAAAAGCCTCTCTTTTTTTTTTATAGATATTCTTCGATAGCTTTGACACTTGGGACAATCTCCGACTCAAAATTTCTCAACAGTGATATACATGAATGTTGATGTCTTGATGTCATATTTTCAACAAAAAAAACGTTTTTACGGTAACGTGTATATAACTAAAAAATTATTAATTGTGGTCAGGTATATTCATATCGCCTAATTTGTGATTAGTTATGGGTTACACATAATTTGCCATCAATCTGTCGTTAAGTGACGACTTTATGGAGATGGGGAAAAGCATATTTGTATATTTGGTATAGTTCTTTTTTATGGGTTATATTCAGAGTATGTGTTTTATGAATCTTGAGTCCAGCTTAAAAATTTCCTTTAAATGTAAGTGTCTTACAAATAATGAATTGTTCATTGTCTGTAGCTATTATGTCTATGAATGACAAATATAATAGCGGTAAGGTGTGATATATATTAAAGAAGTTATTTTCAAACATTTGGAGTTTTAAAATAAACTAATAAAAAAACAAATGATTGTATATTTGTATTATATACAACATATTTCTTTCAGATTGTTTCACGCCGTTTGTCTTGCACATCTTACACTATCTCATTTTATTTTGCCTGATCCGTGTGATTTACACTGTCCAATCTATTGTCAATGATATTTATCGTATTTATTTTTGCATAATTTTGTTGGCTTGTATATGATCGGAATGTCAAAACCTATGGTTATTATATTTTCAAATTTCATTATAAACAATTAAATATTTTGAGATGTAACTTGACCTACCGTTAATAACGTAATTCCAACCAAATATATATATATATATTTTTAGTGTTAAGAGTTTAGTCAAAAGTCTATCTTTTTCATGTTATGAATTTTAGGTTAACCTCAAATAGAAAAATCGAATATGATACCATAAAACTACGGAAGGAAACTGAGTAAAATTAATGTTTTCACACTAATTGAATCCAAAAATGTATTGTCAAAGAAAATACTATATACCATATATATTTGGTCAAAGATGACGATTGTCCTTCAAAAGCGACGTCAGAGCAAGCATCATCACTGGTTTCTCTCAGTTAGATAGTAGATGCGATTACACTGCACACTGGTGACTGGTGCAAAGAAGATTCACAAAGTATACTTTTTAAATTAATTAATTGATTTTCTAGTCCTTTTTTATCTTTCATAAAAATGTCAATTTCATAAACTTATAAATAAATAAAAATACTAAGAAATCAAACTGAACTGAAATCAATAAACTACAAAATCAAAAATCGATAACTAAATCAGGCACTCCTACATGTCTACTACGACATGTGTATATATGTATCATTGACACATATCCACAAAATAATAATGTAAACACAAAAACGGATGAAAGAAGAAAAAATAAAAGAAAAAAAGCAAAATATATAAAAATATAAAAATGGAAAATGCAAGTTCCAAAGGAGTGAAACTGAGACATCGTCCAAAAGAGGAAGCTAGAGAGATGCAAAAAACGAAGAAATCCAGAAAGCCCAAATGGTTTCATTCACTCTTATTAGAATGTTTCCATCTTTTTCTTCCTTGAAATCTTGATATGCAGTACGGACACCTTTTTCTTATTACTAAAAAAATACTTACCAAAATTTTAAAATTTAGGAAAAAAAAAAAGGAATTCATTCAAGATTCAGAGACTTACCACAATGAATGCCCTTTAGATTCAGCACATGATTGTACACAGAGGTCGAGCCACCCACGTGGAATATAATGACAAAATCCATCCAATTTAGCGCTTTCTTTTATTTTTTTCCCTTTTAATTTATCACTTTACAAGAAAGCATATAGATAAACTACAGTATTTTTTTTTTCATTACTTGTTGTCTGCCATACGTAAGTATGTTAACTCACTTGGATTGTGAATGTGAAACTATGCGATAGTGAGATTTCAGGTATTTCTTTTTTTTTAAAGATTTTATGATGTTTTATTAACTTATATAGGGATGTTACATAGATGAAAAAAAAAAACAAAAAGAAAAACAGTGCCTTACATTGACATAGCTAATCCGGTTTGAACAAAATCCGATACAAGAACATTTAATGCTACTGAGAAGAGAGTCTCGAAACCACAATGCAAGAATATCTTTAAACCTTGGAATGTGTCTTCTTGCTGAGAAAACTGTTGCGCAAGGTATTACGCATCATATTTTCACATTAGGGGCAGGAAATGGACATCTTTTATGGAGAAATGTCCACAATTCCTTATCCTCTAGACGATAATGGTATATGTATTAATGGTGTTTTGTAGTATCCAAGAAAAGGATCCATAACAAAAAATACGTACGATGGTTTGCTTTGATGTTATTAATGCTGATATTTACCATAATCCTTTTGAGTTGTGGCTTTTAGAGGATGCCGAGAAACATAAATAGTCAAAGCTTAGTGTATATCCACCAAATGGCCCCTGAATCTGTATGCAATGAGCGATGGCATAGAGCCATGAACTAAGGTTATGGTCGCTAGAAGTTAAAAAAAAAAAAATCGACTACACATTGGTTCACTATAATTTGAATGATTGTTGTAAACCACAATACATGGTATAGACTTAGATTATGGTGGCTCTCACTAAGATTATGAAACAGAAGGAACAAAACTCTCTCTTCTAAAATCATAGACAAAAAAAAAAAAAGCAATCTCTGTGAGGCAATCTCTATGAATCAATCTTGTTGCAGGGTTGGTCGAAGAAGCGGATCTCTCTCCCTCTCTCTGTTATAGACTCGTCCACCACAAGAAGAGGTTTATACGAACATTTCAAGGTAGGAAGAGGAAAAAGATCACTCATCATCTGATGGCAATGTCGGGCTTTTCGAGCAGCTTTCTTGCTTGTGAAGTTCCAACATCCTTTTCTCCGGATTACAAAGACCTGCACCAGTTAAAGAAGATATGATCAAATGCTTGTACAGCTTGTTATGTTATTGATCTGGATCCAAAGACAGAACCGCACCAAGAGTTTATCACATTACTATTATTTATGTGTTAATTATTCGAAACTGCAAGAAAGAAAATCTACAGAACCTGAGCATTTGGGGATGTCCCAAACAGCAACAGAGGAAGGCGAACATTCTGGTTCGCAAAGGATGTGATGATTCTCGTGGTTGACGTTCATTGCCAGCATCCACGCACCTATTGTTACGTCCTCGTTGTTAAACATCCTGAAACTGCAGTTGCCGAAAAGACAAATTTTTACTACGCAAAGAGAAACAGGACACTATGACATTTTTGTCAAGTTTTTGAAAACAGAGCATGCCTGTTATTCTTGAGGGCAACCAAACTTGCTACTACATCAGCAGAGAGAGCGTAAATCGGGCCATAAGCATGAAGAAAGTACTCTTTTCCCAGCAGATGAGACAATGGTTCATACCTGCGAAATTCCAGTTTTGTTTCCAGGCAGAATTCAAAAGTATATAAATAAGGTCTCAGTTTTGTTGTCGCCTTCTTACCATTTGAGTTTAGGATCTGTGAAAACTGGACCCTTTTTCAAGCATCCTAGGTATGTTTGAGAGTGACTCCGCTCTTTTGCCAATAGCAGAGAGAGTCGATCTGCGGAAAAAAAAAACATGAAATAAATCAACAGAAGTTCATACAAAGGCCACACTTTTTTGTGTGTTTGGTCCTGAGGACAGAGATTAACCATAAGAGATAACCACCTGGCCTCAAGTATATATCATCGTCAGCTTTGACATAGAACTCAGAATCATAAAGCGCGTAAGCAGCTTTGAAGAAAGCCAAACTATATAACAAAAAAAAAAGAATAAAGACTACGACAAATTAGAGCCTTTTGGATCATAATGTGTCAGATAAGATCTAGAGAAAGAAAAAAATAGAAGAAAAGCAAATCACTCTCACTGACGTTTTGTAAGGGAGCTTACTGTACTCCTCTTCGATATCTAGCAGTACAAAGTCATCATACTCTGCTATTTCTCTTCTGAGCTCAGCCATTTTTTGTTCATTTTTGGTTTTCCCAATTACAAACCTGATGGCCAATCCTGTAGATTCCTCCAAGCTGCAAAGAACAGTGTTATCCACTAAAAAGGCAAACACAACTAGATCCATCTAAATAGAGAAAGCATCCAAGACTCAATGTACTACAGCAGAAGAAACCATGAAGTTGATTATACTGTAATTTCTTGAATCTGGTGATATTTTAGAGATTAAAGTTCACTAATCAGCACCTAATCAGATTCATCTCTATCCAAGAATCAAGATCAATTCAGCATAGTAAGAAGTGTTCACACACCACACAAACTTTTCAAAATCTCAGATTTGCTAATTAAAATCCAGATCAAACCAATTTAAGCATTGCAATGACTCCACAAGAACAATGGCAAAGAGAATCTCAATATCAATCAGTACCGTCGAAGCCCTTCCGGATCTGACGGCATCCATGTCTTCCTAAGCGCTCGTCTCCGACCGGCGGATCCGAACCCGGTTTGAATACCTACGAATCCCATAACCTTGTGCCTCTTCCCTTCGCCACCAACGGCATTACTATTTCCGGCGACGTCCCAAACGACTCGAACCGTCTTCGGAGGAGAGTTCGTCAAGCAATTACGGCCGGTTAATCGGAGAGCCGGGAAGATAATCACGGCGAGTCCAAATGTGAATCCGGCGATTCCGATAGCTAGGGAAGTTAAAACGATAAGAGCCGTCGATCGGCGCGTGGCTAGTGATGGCCGCGCGTGGAATAGCTTACGAGGAGATAGCATTGTGGTAAAAGCAGCTCAACCTTCGTTAATGGCGACACGGTTTTTTTTTTTTCCCCCTCCGATCCGGTGGATTCGATTTTTCGGTTCCGGTTACATATTTATACTCGAGTTAATTAATTATCATATTTACGCGATTAGCTCTTTGGTAGGTACTTGAATTATTTTTGTTGGACAGAGATAAGTTATTAAATTAGTTTTGAAATATTTATTATACTAAAAATGTTACGAGAAAAGTATTTATAACATAACGCCAGTGCCGGGAATAAAACACGAATGCAAAGATATTGCCATACCAAAAAAATAAACATCAACGCCAATTAAGCAAGTTAATTTGACTTGAATATGTAGAAAATTAAATGAATGTATATTGTTTGGGTATTTTTTGCATCAGAATAACAGATTAGGATTAAGCTTGCAACCGTTAGAAAAGGACAAGCTCATATCCATATGCACGTACGTTTAGTTTCGTGTAATGATTTAGTTAAGTTTTTCTTATCAATAACGTAACACCTCGATTTTTATTCGGAAAAGTCTGTCAGTAGTATTCTGATCTGCAGCAGAGGACTAGGGTAACCTCTCACTTAGCTAAATCATCACACGAAGCTAAACCTGCATGGATCTGAACTATGCCACCACCTGCTATACCATCCACGTACTGCATCATCTATCATGCCACTGATCAAGTAATGATATGAAAACAAGAAAAAAGCATCAATTGTTCTGTGGCATGATGGTTGAAAGTATATAAATCTTTGAACCTCGAAAGGAGAATACCCAAAGGAGATGAACGCCTATAAGCCTATGACGTTTAGGCTAATGATGTACATCAGTACATGTTGAATAAGTATAAATGTTGAATAAGTATAGAATAATGATGCATGCAAGTAAAGAATAAATAATTATGTATAAGGAAGTTAAGTATTTACATACTAGAAAGTTTTAAGTTAAGTATCTACGTGTGTGATTCCAGTACTATAAATCTATAAATAAGAAGTTTGAGTGCTTGAATAAACCAAACCAAAAAGTCAGAAAAAAAAATTGAAAGTCTTTGTAATTTGTAATTGTTCAATATATATAAAATATCTTTCTTTATATAATCGACTCTTCTATTCCTTAACTAATCTTTCAAATATGGTTGTACCCACTATGTGGTGGTATCAGTACCGAAACTATTTAGTCGGTAACTATAGTTATATATAGATTCTCCAAACTTAAAAGGTCTAATCATATGTAAGATAAACACGTACAATCAGGCATGACAAGTCTTGAAACTGAAGCTATTCTGTGTTACAGATCTGCATTAATGGAGAGTGATAACCATTAGTTACTTACACTAATCAACATACCGAAGCTTCATCTACAGAATCTGATCAATGTTGTTGATATTCATTGCTGTAAGAAAGAGGACATATGATCACGTTTAATTACAAAAAGAAGAGCAATACCAACCTGTGTGCGCGTGTTGGCAAACAACTACTCCATAAGCATGTACATCAGTGAATCCCTAAGAAAGGGGTTCACCAGAATATAATAATATTTTTTTTTGGTTTTAATTTTTTTTTATTTAATTTGAAAATTATAATTTTCGACCAATCAGAATGCTCCATTTTGGATGATACCGTCTCTTCAGGTTCGTCGGGATGATACTGTCTCTTTAAGATTAAACTCTTTTGTCTCAAAAACTGTGCCATAAACCCCTCTTGATCCCCTAATGTACATGCTCTAATAATCAACTAAAAGACTAAACAAGTCAAACATTTCTAATTTGTGAGAAAGAGTTAAAATCTTGAAAGACAAAGCAAAACTAAAAGCCAATAAATCCCATGATATCTTGTGATGAGAATTTAAAGTCCATACACTACAAGAAAGATCGGTTTTACGTCGGCAGATATCGACGTAAAATCGACGTAAAAGAGCATTTACGTCGAACTAACGACGAAAAAAAATCGTCGTAAAACAATCGTCGTAAAATAGAAATCGTCGTAAAATCGTCGTAAAATTATCAACCCAGGAAAATCGTCGTAATATCGTCGAAAACTATTCGTCGTAAACGTGACATAAATTTTCCAACGAAAGTACAACGAAATAAGTCCATCATAAGAACGACGTAAAATCGATGTAAAATTACATCGATTTAACAACGATTAGGAGACGAACAATTTCAATTAAGGGAAACTAATTTTTTAATTGTCGATGTTAATTCGTCGTAAAGTTTCGACGTAAATCCGACGTAAACATATTCGACGTAAATCCGTCGTGAAATATTCGACGTTAGATCGACCTAAATTTACGACGAATTTACGTCGATTTATAAATTAATTATTTAATTCGATTTTAATTTAATTAATGAATTTTTAAAATAATCAAAAAATTAAAAATAGAAAAAAACAATTTAAATTGAAATTTAAATTCGAAAATAATTTATAAGTAAAAGAAAAAAATTAATACAAATTGTTTTTTACAAAAAACCTAATCTACAATGTGATTTCGTAATCGTCGAGGTTGAGATCGACGTCACGAGGAGGCTCTCCGTCTTGGCCGCCCGTCGCTGCTGGACCGTCGTTTCCCGTCTGCACTACCGGAGCCGAAGACTGACCCTGCGTCTGCTGGTCCAATGGTCCAATACCGGAAGTACCACCGGTCTCAAAGACCCCTCGTGCTCGCTGTTGCCTCGCTCGGATTGCGGTGGCCAACTGCGGAACCGCTTCCGCAATGATGTCGAAGAGACCGTGCATCTCGGTGAGCTCCTGCTTCTGGGCCACTTGCTCATGCCTGAGAGTGGTGATCTCAGCATTGGCCGTAGCAAGCTCCTGGCGAAGATGACTCCGATCCTCCTGCGTGCGAAATCCGGAAGCCGAGGCGGCAGGACAGTCTCTAATAGAGCCCATCCCTAAGGTTCGGCCCTTCTTCTTCGGAGCAGCTTACAAATGGAAAATAAAAACGTTAATTATTTATTAAGTAATAAATATAATAAATTTTTAAAAAATTGAAATAGATCATACCTCCTCGAAAATCTGGTCTTGCTCAGCGACGGTCAACGGTACTTGGATAGTACCGTCAGGTGTGGTCTAGGTCTCCCGCTCGGCTATCCGCTGCATAGCGGCATTGTAGATCTCCTCTGACCGAGCGTCGACAAAGCTCCCGTCCCTCTTCCGGTGAGTGGTCTCGAAGAGCTTCGTCATTGGAGGTAGTTTTCCTCCGTTCTCCTCGGCCTACCAATTAATAAACATTAGTCAAAAATATTTAATAAATTATAGCAATAATTAAAAATGAAATAATAATTAAATAATTTATATTTAATTACTTACCATCATGAGACGTCTTCCCGCAAAAGATATTTGGCCAGAAGTGTGCGGGGTCACTAACTTCTGACCGTTAGGACCGACCCGGTTTCGGACGGCCGAACACTTAGCCGGAGTGGTTTGGGCATGCGGGTCCAGCCAATACGCCTTCAACCCGTTCCAATAGAAAGTGGACATGGAGCTCGGCTTTGCGTCGTCTCCATCGGTCTCCCTCTTCTGCTTCCAATCGGAAACGGTGTTGACTAGGCGTTTCTGCGCCTTCAGCCGGAAAGCTTCGCGGACCGTCTCGTTGATCCCGATGTCCCAGTTCCACCGTTGCTGCAAAAGAAATCAAAAAATTATATAAACAATATAAAAGTAAGATTAATTAAATTTAAAATAATTTAAAATGATATAAATAAGATTTAAAAAACATTATCGCGAAGCACTTGTACCAGGTGTCGAACGTCTCTTGCGACACCTTGCTCCAGTTGTAGTGCGGCTCAACGAAATGACTCTTAATTGTGTCGGAAACGCTCCGACCAACACAATTATCCAAGTCAAACCTATGAAACCAAAAAAAAAACATTATTACATTAATATTTAAGAAAATTAAAGCATTAATTTAAAACAATATAAAAAACAAAAAATTTTACTTACCAATAAGAGCCTGGTTCTGCTTTTCCGGGAACCAGACGTCGTAAAGCCCCCCGTCCCGGTAGGACTAGTAAGGCCTCAACCGTAAATTGGGCATACGGATGAGGAGGGTGGGCCACCGGTTCGGGAGCCGGCGGTGGAGGTGGTGGTGGAGGTAGTGGTGGAGGCGGTGGTGGAGACTGCTCCGCTACGGTATTCGGAACCTGGGAGGCTCCGGAAGATGAAGGGACATCGGTCCCGGTGTTTCCCGAGGCAGACGCCCGGGAAGAGTGTCCATCCGCCATAAAGTTGATGTAGTGCGTCCTCCGTCGAGTCATTGTTTGCAAAACCGGAAAATTTTTATTTTTGAAATTACAAATTAATTTTAAATTATGATCCTAAATCTAACAAACACCCTAAATCCTTAATCTAACAAATTCTGATCCTAAATCTAACAAATTCCGAGCCTAAACTAATTTCCGACCTAAACCGTTTGTATTTCTAAACTAATTAAAAATAAAAATTAGATTTTAAGTAAAAAAAAAAATTACCTGATTTTGTGGGTTTGCAGGGAAGCAACGAAGTGAGGAGGAAGCAGGGAGAGGAAGAAGTTGAATGAGCGACGAAATGAGGAAGGGGTGCTTCCATATATATAGAATTTTTATTCGTCGTAAATCCGACGTAAAGCTGCAACCGTACAACAAAGCGAATAAGACACACACACGTGGTTGTATCTGGACTTTGCGACGAATTTACGACGATCAGGATTATTCGTCGTAAAATCATCGTAAAATTACGACGAATTTACGACAAATCCTTATAAATCATAAAAATTATAACGGCTATGTATTTACATATCGTCGTAAAATCGTCGTAATATTACGACGATTTTACGATGGTATGTACAAAAATGATGAATTACAAAAATTGAAACACCCATAAGCACATACAAGCATGCCTATACATGCTAAATGTGGTCTGTATAAGTTTTTAGCATGTTTACATAACATAATGAAGAATTTGGTTTGATCTAAGATAAATTCTTATATCTTCTCTAAATGTATATAACACCTTAAGATTACTTGATAAACACATATATGTCAAATTTTGAAATTTTTTTTTTTTTGTTTAGAAAGTTGTT